CTTTATGTTTTTGGGCCTTGTCAGTATATGTAGGGAATAGACCTAGGCCTGATATCTGATAATAATTAGCATTTATTAACTTTCTAGAATGCAAGATTATTGGTTATCACAGCCATGCAAATGCACAACACACACAGTGCAGCTTTGACCTCTTTTCTTTGCTAGCTTTAGCTTATACACTTTTATGCCATTAAATGATTAAATATAAATTGTTGCATGTTACATATTCTCATGTTACATATTCCAATACTGAGAAAATAAACATTTCTTGGTGATAAACTCTTTGATAGATGAGATCTTGCTGGTGCTGTTTCTGTTCTTTAAATGAAGCACACGGAAGTGACTTGAGTGCTAATCATTCGCCTAGTAAAAAAAACTTCAGATGCTAGTGAGTGAGTTATAAAGCTACAAAGTATCATATCTGTATAATCTTACAGCCCATCTGAGCCATCAGGACATTGAAGCTGTATGGAAAAATGCTGAGAATAAATAATAAATACTTAAGAACCTCACCATGTTCTGTACTGTTAACATTAGCGTTCATTGTCCACTTCAGACAAATGAAAAAACAGTTATAAGCAAATTGTACACACTTGCCATTACTTTTAAACAATGGTATAAAAAGCATCACTGTATAATACAACAAACGTTACGACAGCCCGTAACATGTAGCAGGGAGTGTCGAGTTAATTGTAATCTGATGAGGTCAGATGTGAAGTAATGAGGCTGCATGTAAAGTCTCATTAATCTGCAGTGTTTCAGCACCGCGTCGCTATCCAGGCGAATCGTGTCTCTGTTGGAAACGCAATGTCGCCCTCTGGCGGTAAAAAGGGAAAAGCGCCACTTCAAAACTAAGCGCATCTCATTTTGTCCAAAACGAAGAGAATCCTTTGAGTTGTTCGCCATACCAAAACAGCAGTGTTAGCATCTGTCCTGCCAAGGGTGGGCAAAAATTGGCAGCAACCTCTCTCCCTGTCATGGACAATGAGCTGTTCCGTGATGACACAGCTGTGTAAAGCCAGGCTGGAACGAACAAGGCAAGAAAGTGATAATGTACATTATGGAGAGGAGCTTCTTTGGTGTGATGTTCTGGGAGTTGAGACGGAAAATCAAACAAAGTCATCCAAGTGCAGTAAAGACACACAAAATAGGGAGGAGAGCAAATAGTTGAGTCCTGTACAGGCTCAGCAGACTGTAATGCCAGAGTTAATATTAGTGAAGATAGCTATGGTGTTGGGCAAATGAAAAAAACAAAAAAACAAAAACACACAAAGTGTATTTGGATAATTTACTAATTACTCCCTGCAAAAATTAATCTAATTTCTCATTACTTCTGCGCTACTTTGTATCAAACTACCTATACCGGCTATAAAGGCCCAATCCCATTTCTTATTTTTACCTCTACCCCCTTGTTTTCGAGTGTCACCTTGCCTCTTGAAACTGGGTTATAAGGGGTAGTGGTTGAAATCTTCCTCTGTGAAATGGGACCCTCAAATAAAAAGAGCATTAGCGCTGCTCTGTGGGCGACCCTGCCAGTCTGCAGCGATTTTTTGGCCCAATCCCATTTCACCCCTCGCCCCTACCACTTAGTCCTTACCCCTCTGTTTTGCGCGTTCACGTCTAGGTGTAGGGTGTCCTGATTTTTGCTGAGATAGATGGGTCGAGCGAAGTGTTTCGGCAACATGGCCCTCCAAACGGAGTGTTATGAGAAACAACGAAAAACCGGCAAGATGGCTGCGCGAGCGACCAAAGAAACCCACGAATGTGAGAATTTTCTCTGTTAAAAACTATGATAACCACTGTTTTATCTTAGTTTAATGTCATTTCAATGTATTATGTTTCTTTTCTTCATACCAAGCATATAAAATCGGTTGTAGTTTGCTGATGTCTCGGTAGCTAGCTGGCTAAATTTCCCGTTCCACCTTAAATGGTGCAGCAGTTACATTCTGGCACCTCAAGGCTTCAGAACTGCTGCACTATTTAAGGTGGAACGGGAAAATTCGAACAAGAAGCTGGTGAATATCTGACTTCAGCTTCATATCACTGAAGAATTAGGGGTGGGTGATAATAAATCCAAAGACCAAAATAAATACAACTACAGAAGGAAGACGTGTGGCATTTTGAGAACTTGTGTTATATGAAAGCAATAAACAGTCTCTGCACTCTCTACGTGCTCTGTTCTGTCGACAGTTACTTAAGTTCACCACAAGGCGTCGCCATTTGCACACTACAGCCAGCCTGATAAACACATGGCTGCCCTGGTGTGGATGTTACATCATCCCCCTGTTCTTCAGTGTGACACGATTTATGTTGAGGTACACGTGTTAACTGAACACCTGCTGTGTTGAAATCTTACAGTGTCCTTTTGTGGCCAGTTGGACTCACAGAAAACTTGTCGGTGCCTTCGTTTAGCTCAACGCTTAGACTCAACGCTTGTGCATGCGACTCACTAACTTTGAGTTGACGACTCAGAATTTGCAGTTTTTAACAAGAAAAAAAGCCCAACGCTGAGTGGACAGCTGCAGTGCTGAATTAAAACAATTGCGTATTTTAAATGTGCTTTATACATTTTACTAGACTTACTCTGCAATATTGAAACAAGCACCTGCAGTGTTAAATAAACACCCAGTGTATATAAACAACTGCAGTGTTGACCATAGCAATTCACTTTATTCAACATTGTAGGCATTCTATGCAAGTTTCAACCTAAAACTACAGGTGTTCATTCAACACAGCATTTTTTAAAACTTTAGGTGTTTATTTGATGCTGTAGGTGTTTATTTAATATGTTGCGTGCTTATTTAACATTGTAAGTGTTTATTTGATGCTGTGGGTGTTTAGAACATGCTGTAGGTGTTTGTTTGGTGCTGTAGGTGTTTATTTAACACCATAGGTGTTTGTTAGATGCTATAGGTTTTTATGTAATTCTATAGGAGATGATGTGACATTGTTGGTGTTTATTTAACACTGTGGGTTTAACATTGTAGGTTTTTATTTGATGCTGAAAGTGTTTATTTAACAATGTGGGTGTTACTTAATAGTGTAGGTTTTTATTTGATACAATAGATGTTTAATTAACACTGAATGTGTTTATTTGATGCTATAAGTGTTCATTTAACATTTAATGCTGGAGGTGTTTATCTGACGCTAGAGATGTTTATTTGATGCTGTAGGTGTTTAACGTACATGTTTATGGTACAATATTCTAGGTGTTAATATAACACTGTAGGTGTTTGTTTAATATTTGATGCTTTAGGAGTTTAACGGTGTAAGTAGATATTGCTTTGATGCTGAACATGTTTATTTAGTGCTGCAGGTGTTTATTTGATGCTGTAGGTATTTATTTAACACTGTTTATTTTACACTAGCTTTTTTATTTTGAGTTGTAGGTGTTCATTTAACAGTATAGGGTTTATTTAGACAATGCAGCTGTTTACACAATATTAAAGGTGTTTATTTAATACTTGTTAATTCAACACATTAAATCAAATCTAGTCAAGTTTAACTGTATAGCACATTTAATGGATGTTTTAATTCAGCACTGTAGCTGAGCTGAGAGGGGGAGGGGGTCATTACTGTTGGTCCAGTTCGTACTGTCCCTTTAAACTGGAGCAGCTGCACCTCAGAGCCACGTGGACTCTTCACTCAGAGAGGAAATGACCCCTACACACACACACACACACACACACACAAACACACACACAGACACTTCTTCCTCTTTTTCCTCACCCTCTCATATTCTTCCACTCACTCTGTCGTCCTCTATATGTCTTATATGTACATCATCTCTTCCCCTCTGTCTCTCTCCCCCACTCTCTCAGCTCTCCCTCTGTATCTCTTTTCCTCTTTCTCTCTCTCCTTTTCTCTTTCTCATTCTCTCTTCCCTCCCTCTGTCCCCCTTCCTCTCTCACTGTCTTTCCCCTCTGCCCTGTTCTCTCTCTCCCCTGTCTGTCTCTATATTACTTTCCCTCTTTCATTCTCTCTCTCTCTCATCCCTGCGTCCCTCATCCTCCCTCTCTCCCTCTGTCTTCACTCTCTCCCCCTTCCCCACCTCTGTCCCTTTCTTTCTCCTTACCCCTCTACGTTCTCTCTCTCCCTGTTGCTCTCTTCACACCTTTCTGTGTCTTTCTGGTCCCTGCCTCTCTTTCTCCATTGCTATCTCTCTTGCTCTGTCTCCCCCTCCTCTGTCCTTTTCTCCCTCTCCCCTACCTCTCTCTCTCACGCTCTCCCCACCTCTCTGTCCCTTTCTCTCTTTCTCTCTCTCTCTCTTTACCTCTATGTCCCTCTCTCTTCCTCACTCTCACTCCTGCTCTCTCTCCCTCACTAACCCCCCCCCTTCACTGCAGCATTGAGCTGCTCGCTGAACAGAACAGAGGACTGCAGCGTGCTGCACTGGCGTCAAATCGGAGCGTGCGCATGTGTGTGTGTGGTGTGTGTGTACCAACGTCTGCAGACGTTAACATTTATAACCCCCCGTGTGTGAGTGTGTGTGTTTCATTGATATTTGTATTTTTAGATTTTTTAGACCCTAGAAGCTAAACCGCCCCCCCACCACACAGAGCATTGGCTCCTCCCCACCCCACCACCACCACAGCACTGACTCGACAGTGGGACAGCGTAGCGAACGGACGCACCGGAGCTTCCTGACTCCCCCACGCACACGCCTACACACTGGCTTATTTTCAGTTTTTTCCCCCATACGGAATTCCATCACTGTGGGAATATGGTGGTATTTTCCCGGCTGTGGATTTCTCTGGGATGCTGAACGCTCCAGGTTGTTTTTTTGGATACTGCAGCACTGGACTGTAACCTGGAGGGCATGAGGACCCAGCGGTGTCTCTGAGCCACACACACTCACACACACACACGCACACACACACACACACACACCACCGCCGCTGCTGCTGCTGCTGCTGCTGATACTGCCAAGGTGCTGCATGCCTTTCTGAGAGCGATGTGAACGAGAGACACAGAGAGAGAGAGACAGAGAGAGAGAGAGATTTTGATATAAGGAGCGTTGTGTGAGGTGTAGTCCTGGATTGCTGAGATGTGCGTGTGTGTAAGCGTGTGAGTGGGTGCTGGATTGCTCTGGTTCAGGCCTAGCTGTGCGTGTGTGTATGCGTTGGTAGCTGTGAGGTTTTTGTCGCAGCTCAGCTTGTCTCTTATACGACACTGTGTGTGTGTGTGTGTGCTTGTCGTTCCTGGTTTCTGACTGCCCTGTGTGTGTGTGTGTGCGTGTGTGTGTATCAGGATGCTCATGCCTCGCGATGCAGGCCGCGACGAGGCTCAGAAGCTGCACAGGAAATGGATGAAGCACCAGGCCTTCATGGCTGAGCTCGCACACAACAAGGAATGGCTCGCCAAGATTGAACAGGTGAGTCACAGATAGAGAGAGAGAGAGAGAGAGAGAGAGAGAGAGAGATGAAAGAAAAGAATGGAGCAAAAATAAGGAGAGAAAAAGAGTCAGAAATGGTGGAAGACCGGAGGAGGTGAACGAGAGAGAGACACAGAGAGACAGATAAAGAAAGAGAGGAAGGAGAAAAGAACTGAGGAGAAATGAGGGAGTGGAAGAAATGATGGAACGGATTTCTGTGAAGCTGCTTTGTGACAACATCAGTTGTAAAAAGCGCTATACAAATAAATTTGATTTGATTTGATTTGATGGAAGACAGGAGAAGAAGATAGAGAGACAGGAGAAAAAAGGAGAGCAGTAAAGGGGATGGTGTGGGAGAAAAGAAGAAATGAGGAGAGGAGAAGGGAGGAGAGGAGAAGAGTAGAGGGAGGAGAGAGAAAGGGAAAAGAAGAAAAGAAATGGAATGAGAAAATAAGGAGCACAGGATGGAGGACAGGAGGGGTAGATAGAGAGAGAAAGAGTGATAGAAAGACAGGAGAAGGAAAAAAGAAAGGTGAATAAGAGAGGAGCAAATAAGAGAATGGAAGAAAGGATTGGTAGAAAGAGAAAGAAAGACAGATAGAAAGAAAGAGAGAGAGAGAGAGAGGAAAAAATGAGTGGAGCAAAAATAAGGAGAAATAAGAAAGAGTAAGAAATGAAGGAAGACAGGGGGAGGTGAAAGAGAAAGAGGAACAGAGAGAGTGAAAGATAAAGAAAGAGGGGGAAGAGAACAGAGAGGAGCAAAACTGAGGAGAAATAAGGGAGTGCAAGAAGAAGATAGAGAGAGAGGAGAAATGAGAGGAGGAGCAAAAAAAGGAATGAAATGAGAGAAGAGAAGAAGGGAGGGGAGGAGAATTAAGAAGGACTGGAGTAGACAAAAGAAAGAAGCAAAACTAAGGAGAAATAAGGGAGTGCAAGAAGGGATGAAAGACTGGAGGAAAAGATAGAGAGAAAGAGGAGAAAAGAGAGAGGAGCATAAGGGATGGAATAGGAGAAGAGGGGAGAATAAGGGAGGGGAGAAGGGCTCAAGTGGAAAGAAGAGAGCAGAAGAAAAGAAATGGAATGAGAGAATAAGAGAGGAGCACAGGATGGAGGATGGGAGCAGTAGACAGAGAGAGTGATAGAAAGAAAGACAGGAGGAGGAAAAAAGAAGTGAATAAGAGAGGAGCAAATAAAAGAAAGATAGAAATAAAGAGGTATAGAAAGAGGGAGAGATAAATAAGGAAATAAAAGGATGAAAAATGAGAAGACAAAAGAGTGAGAAAGGATGAAAGGCAGAAGGAGCAAAGAGAGAATGGAGAGAGAAAACAGAAAGAGAGGAAAGAAGCAAGTAGAGCAAAAATAAGGACAGATAAGAGAAAAAGAAATGATGGAAGACAGGAGGAGGTGAAAGAGAGAGACAGAGAAAGAGAAAGAAAGGGAGGGAAAAAAAACGAATGGAGAGAAGCAAAACTGAGGGAGTGCAAGAGTGATGGAAGACAGCAGGAAAAGACAGACACAGAGGAGAAAAGAAGAGAGGAGCAAAAGAGATGGAATGGGAGAAGTGTAGAAGGGAGGAGATGAGAGAAGAAGGGAGAAGGACTGATATGGAGAGAAGAGAGCAGATGAAAAGAAATAGAGAGAGAGGAAGAATGACAGATGAGAAGAGAGAAGAGGGGCAAAAGGGATGGAATGGGAGAAGAGAAAAAGGGAGGAGAGGAGAGGAGAGGAGAAATAAAGTAGAGAGAAGAGAGCAGAAGAAAAGAGATGCAAAAGAGATAATAAGAGAGGAGAGGAGAGGAGAGGAGAGAATAAAAGAGGAGCACAGGATGGAGTACAGGAGGGATAGAGAGAGATAGAGTGATAGAGAGAAAAACGGGAGGAGGAAAAAAGAAAGAAGTGAATAAGACAGGAGCAAATAAGAGAATGGAAGAAAATAATGAGTAGAAAAAAATTAAGAAAAATAGAAAGAGAAAAAGATATGTAGAAAGAGGAAGAAAATGAGAGAAAGAGAGAGAGAGAGAGAGAGAGAGAGAGAGAGAGAGGAGAAAATAAATGAGATAATAAGGAAAAATGATGGAATAGGAGAAATAAAAGTGAAAGAAAAGATAGAGAACAGGAAACGAGTAAAAAACAGGAGGAGAGGACAGCAGGATAAATAAAGGGGAGGAAAGCAGAGGAGAGAAAAGGAAAAAAGGAGAAGAGCATTTGGGATGGAATGGAAGAATCAGAGTGTATAATAAAGGATGGAAAGTAGATGAGAAACAAGACAGGAGAAGAGGAGAAGAAAGAGAAGAGAGAATGAGAGGAAAGGTGGAGAATGCTGCTGGAGAACAGGATAAGAGGAAGAAGAAAAAAGGACACGAGAGGAGAGAAGAGGAGTAAAGAAGATGGACTTAGAGTACACTGATGATGGAGGAAGTGATGGGAGACAGGAGGAGAAGAGAAAAAAAGGGAAGTAAACAGGAGAGGATAAAGGAGGAGAAAAGGATGAGAGATGAAAGGAGAAAAGAGGAGAGAAAAGATGAGGTTAGAGAAGATAAGGAGTGATGAAAGAAAACGAGGAATAAAATGGAGGAGAAATGAAGGGAAGAAGAAGAAAGGTGAGAAGAGGAAAGATCAAAAGACTATAGGATGAGAAAAAAGAAAAGAGGAGATAGAAGGAGTAATGAGGAAAGCAAAGGATGCGAGGAGAAAACAGGTGGAGAGGGGAAGGAGAAGGAGAAAAAAGAGAAAAGAAAGAAAAGGAAGATATACTGTGAGACAGAAGGAGAAGGGAATGGAGAGAGAGAGGTAAGCAAAGAGTAGAAAATGAAAACAGAAGAGCAAAAACCATGGAACAGGACAAGTAAAGAGGAGACTGGAGGAGAAGAGAGGAAACAAGAGCATAAAAAGAAGAGAAAAATAAGGAAAAGAAGAAGAGGTAGTGAGAAAAACAGGACCGAAGACAAAAGGAGGATAAAGAAGAGAAGAGAAATAGAAGAACAAAGCTGAGAGGGAAGGAAAAGAAAGGAGAGTGGAGGAGGATAACTGAGAGTAGAGGATGATAGATGAGGAGACAAGCAGAAAAGAGGAGAGGAAAGGAAATGAAAGGAGTGAGAAGGTGGAGAAAAAAGGTAAGAGGAAAAATGAGAGGTGAGGAGAAAGAAGAGACTAGAGAAGAGGAGAGGAGTGAAGAGGAGAGGAAAAGAAGAAAAAAGGAGAGGGAGAAGGAGGAGAGAAAGGAGAGAGAAAAAAAGCGGAGATGAGAAAGGAGGAGAGGAACAGGGAAAGAATGCAAGAGAAGGAGGAAAGGAGAGGAGAGAAAAGATAAGGAGAGATGAAAGGAGGAAGAGAGGAGAGGAAAAAGAGGAAAAGAATGGTCAGGAAATTAGAGGGAATAAGGGCAAGAGAAAAGAAAGGAGGGGGAGCGAAAAGGAGAAGAAGGAAAAGAGAAGGGTGAGAGGAGGAGAATGGAGTGGTAAGTAGAGGAATAGGGGAGAAAAGGAAAGAAGGGAAGATAAGAGGGGAGAGGAAAGAAAGAGAGGAGTTGAGAAGAGAAAGAAGTAGAGGAGAGGAAGAGAAGAGGAAATAATGGAAAATGAAGAGAGGAGAGAAGAGAAATAAAGAAGTAGATACAAGAAAAGAATAGTATGAGAAAAGAGGAGTGTAAAAGAGTGAGACTGAAGACAAAAGAAGACATGAAGAGGAGAGATGAGAAATGAATGAATAAAGGGGGAAGGCAGATGGAGAAAGGGAAAGGATGGAGGTGGATGAGTGCAGGCCAGGTGAGACTGTAGGAGGGGGAGGTGTAGAGGCAGGTAGAGGACAGAGAGAGGACAGATGAAGGACTCATAAAGGAGAGCACTGCTTCATATGCTATGGCAGGATGGAGCTCAGCAGGGCTCTCATAGAAACTGCAGCTACGCCGGCCACAATCAGTAATATACTAATATTACTTCATTAAATATCCTTAAATACTAATATTACTCCATTAAATATCCTTAAATACTAATATTACTCCATTAATATCCTTTAATTATAATAAATCTGAATTAAATATCCCTAAATACTAATTACTCCATTATTATCCTTTAATACTAATAAATCTCAATTAATATCCTTTAATACTAATAAATCTCCATTAAATATCCTTTAATACTAATAAATCTCCATTAATATCCTTTAATACTAATAAATCTCCATTAAATATCCTTAAATACTAATATTACCTAATTAATATCCTTTAATACTAATTCATCTCCATTGCATAACCTAATGTACTAATATTTCTCCATTAACTATCCTTATATACCCATATTTCTCTATTAAAAATCCTTATGTACTAATATTTCTCCATTCTATGCCCTTATGTACTAATATGTCTCCATTAAATACCCTTATGTACTAATATTCCTGTATTAAATACCCTTATGTACTAATATCTCTTCATTAAATACCCTTACATACTAATACATGTCCACTAAATACTCTTATGTACTAATATTCTCCATTAAGTATGGTCATATTCTAATATTTCTCCATTAAATACCCTTCTATAATAATATTTCTCCACTAAATACCCTAATGTTTCTCCATTAAATATCCCTATATACTCATATTTCTCTATTAACAATCCTTATGTACTAAGATTTCTCCATTAAATTCTCTTTTGTACTAAAATGTCTCCACTAAACACCCTTATGTATTAATATTTCTTAATTAAATGCCCTTATATACTAATATTTCCCCATTAAATATCCTTACATCCTGGATTTTGTGCTTAATTGATTACTGATGGTTAATTAAACTGTTGATGTAACTAATTGGCCACCTATCACACGTACCAGTGACTGCAAAATATAGGACAAGAAACTGGATTCGTGCTGCCATGGTTTACTAAGGTTTAATGAAATGTAGCGTACTATGTTTTGTGCGATTTGCTCTAGTATATGCGATATAGCAGTATGCTCCATTTTACTGCTTGCAACAGAATGGCAAAAATTTCTATGAGAGTGCTGCTG